CCGTAAAATGGGTCATTAAAAATTACCAAATTAGGATAGAGTGGCGTTTTGATTGTTGTTCCTACTTTCGATACGAAAGTAACGGAATATTTGTGCTCGGGGTGGGTTTTTTTTCCTTCAGACAAATTTCGACTTTTTAACTAGCCATTTTTGACGGAATTTTTTATATCATTCAAAAAGTATTGTTGTCTTGAGCTTAAATTTGAGAAGATATTTCACCTGTGATCAATTTTCGTAAAGTTATGGGGTTTAAAGATTGGCATTTTGGCCAATTTGGGACAATTAACGCGCGATATATTTCGTGCTATTAACGCGTAAGCGTAGATTTAATCCGTCTTAGAAATCATTCCAAATTGGTTGAAAGAAGCTTTTCTGCCATAATTGATTTGTTACTAGAAGCTAAATTTATCACTTTGTACTTTATATGGAGTGTAGGGGGGTGATTTTCATAAAAAATCTCTAATTTTTTTTACAAATTTTTTTTCATTTTTTTCTTTTTTTATACATTTATTTTTTAAATCTTATTTCTGCTTCATAGACCTTAAAAGGCAATCGGAACATTCAGGGCTTCGCCCTGATACAAGCAGTCTTTTTTGTATTTAATTTGGAATAAAAAACAGTATCAGTTTTCGCTACTGTTTATTAAGATTCTGATTTTCGGCGCCATGTAGCACTTCGGCACTGCTGTACTGCCTCGCATCCCGAAAATTATTTGAATCTAGTTACAAAAAGTTATGCAAGTAATGTTTTATCTTAAGTACTACCGGTGGACTTGAGGCAAAATGTACCTTAATTATCTCTGAACTTGATTCGCTTAAAGTGAATGAACGTCAACTTGTTCTAGAAAGTGATTAAAACAATAGCTGATTTCGGGATCGGCGCTTTCACTTCTCGTTATTTGAACACTAATATTTCAGACCAAAGTGGATTACATGGAAAAGACAAAAAACAGGTTGCATACATGCGCCAGTGCGAAGATATGCCCCAAATACGGATTAATTCCGGAGATGCCAGGAAGTTTTATATACTGCTGCAACACGAAAAACTGTAACCCATTCGCTGCAAGTGCTACATATGCGAACAGTTTTGCTGAGCAAATGATACTTTTTGCTGCTACTTTCGCTGTGGAACTCATTATGATTGGACTCATTTTGTTTTCATACAGATTTTACAAAATAAAAACTGCCGCTAATAATGAATAACATTACTTTACTAGCCATGAAAAAATTTAGTGGAAATTTTGTAGTAAAATTATCACATATTTCTCAAATGATGCTAATGTATATTTTTAGAAAACTTAACAAAACAAAATACTGAAACTTGTATATTCACTAGTCACTTATTGTTCTGACATTTGTAACGAAAGTAACGGAATATTTCAGCTCGGATTGGATTTTTTTTCTTCAGACAAATTTCGACTTTTTGACTAGCCATTTTGACGGTTTTTTATATCATTCGGAAGTTATTGTTGTCGCGAGCTTCATTTAGAAAAGATATTTCACCTTGACCATTTTTCATAAAGTTATGGGGGCTTAAAGTTTGCCATTTTGGCCAACTTGGGACAATTGACGCGCGATATATTTTGCAGTATTAACGCGTAAGCGAGATTTAATCCGTCTTAAAAATCGTTCCAAATTGGTTCAAGGAAGCTTATATGCCATAATTGATTTGTTAATAGGAGCAAAACGGGGCCTAGGAAATTAGACGACAAGCAAATTAGACGACCGTAGAGAAACGAAATTTACGGACAACCAGTATTTACTCAGCCAAAAGTTAGTTTAAGTCTGTAAACAAAATTCGCGCAATTTGCAGGCAAGTTATTGTCTAAATTGGACAACCAGTATTTACTCAGCCAAAGATAAGTTAAGTCTGTAACAAGTTTCACGCAATTTGCACAGAAGTTACTGCCTAAATTCTGTTATTTTCTAATCGTCCAATTTCCTGTCGTCTAAGTTCCTAAACCCCGAGAAAAATCTATCACTTTGTACTTGATATGACGTGGAGGGGGATGTTTTCACAAAACAACCTCAATTTTTTATATTTTTTTATTTTTTTTAAATTAAATTTCATTTTTTCATGTTACTACTGCTCCATAGGTCTTAAAAAGCAGTCGGAACATTCAGGTTTCGCCCTGATACGAGCAGACTTGTAGTTTTTGGTTAAAAGCCCGAATTTAAAAACTTTAGAGTCAATTGCCTTGCAAAATCAACAAGACTGAGTTGGTAGACGTTTTTGAAAATTATAAGGAAGTATAACTAACTTAATTAATTTTCTTCAGTTCGCCATAAATCGACTTTTTTAATATGCATTATAGATTCTTTTGTTCGCTGAGCAAAAGCACTAGTTTTTCTTAGTGTGCTACACTTTGCTTCATTTTTGTCGTAAAACATGTGTAGCAGAATAGTTATCTAGCATCGTGCTATATTTTGTATATTTTTTGCAAGAATGAAGCAACATTTTAACATCCACAAAATTTTCGACTTATTTGTTTATTCGGCCATTTCAGTTCTTTTCATAGCTTCCCCGGGTTGACCAAAAAAGCTAACTATACAATTTTCGTAAATGGAAATTTTATGCAATTCTGTAATAACAGATACTTAAATGAAATGAGTATGATTAGTGATTTTTCATATATGGAAACTGTATGACTAGCATTTTTCCATAAACCACGCCATTTGATGTTTTTTAGTAAAATTTTACCTTTTCTAATTTTTTAGGTTGCGTTCGTAATTAATCACAAGTGGCAAAGACTTTGGTTACTCAAAGGTAGAGTCATCGCCAGTTTGACCGTCTCGCAATTACAATGCATCGGAAACGGTCTGAATTGTCTTAGTTATATCTTACACAAACAGTTAAGTGAAAGTATCAAACTTTTAAATGTTGCCAAAGATTTTCAAAGGTGATTTTTTTCTGAAAATTGAACCCTTTATTAATCATGCTTTGATGAAGGTATACAAAAACATACCACACAAAATAAATAGGCGTTATGAACGTTTTTGAAAAAAAACATCCTAAAAAATAGTTAAAAAATTCACTTTGTGTATCCAGGATTACGTTATGCACACAAAAAACTAATTCTTGCATGCCAAAAAGGTTTATAGAAAATGTTTGTTTTTGTACAAATTTTGTTTTGCGATTGAAAAAAGAAAAACAAAGTTTTGGCACAACTTCGATACTGCTTCGAAGTAATGTCACCATCTAAAAAAGGCTAGTCACAGAATTTCAATATATGGAAACTGTAAGAGTAGCATTTTTTACAATATTTTTTTAAAATTTATGACGATAATTGAATTTTAAGCCAAAACAAGAGAAAGTTTTTTGAAAATTTGATGACTTTACGAAATACTGATGGTTGTGTTTGTTCATAGAGAAATGTGAGAAATCATTGAGGCATGATGCAAGTGATGGCGACTTGACCGAGTATCCAGTTGTGGGATGTTTGATAGAGTAAAATGAATCAAGTTGACCCCCCCTCTCTTCCTTACCTCCCCCTACCCCTCAAGGCGCTGATAACTGCAGAAAATGGGAATAAATCAGCAAGGAAATAAATTATTTAATTCATTATAATAAGTTGTCCCCAGGCATTAGAAAAATAAATGAAAAACAAAAACATATGCACAAAAAGTTTTGACAGCCTGAAAAATTTTTCGAAACAACAGTTATGCCGCGCAGATCTGTGATTCCTTCTGAAAAGTTGAGGCATATTTTTCTAAAAAAAAAACAAGAAAAAAATACGAAGTCAAGCTAAGTAAAATTACAAACTATAGGAGGCGTAAATCAAACACTATAAACAACACTAAGAAAATGCGCTAAGCAAACAAAACAATTTAAAGATATGAGAACTAATCCGACAATAGATGAGCAGACAAATAATTGGCCGATAACTTTAGTTGAAACAGTAGATTTCTCGTTTGAAAAACAAAAAAAAGTCCTGGTCAGATTTGAACCCAGGTCCTTTGCCGTCCCAGGTATAGCAGGGGTAATGAAAATTAATCGGTAACCTGATAAAAATAAGTTTAAACTAGTCCTCCCGCTTCGCTGTCATCAAATGTGCAAGCAGCTGTTGTCGCTTCTTGATCATTCAAACCAAGCAAAACATGCTGATTTAATTTTTAAAATAGAGCCGTTAAAAGTTGGAAATGAGTAATGAACGAAAGGAAACTGAAAAAAAAAACTGACTTGTTTTTTCAAGAGCCTTCAACAATTGAAATTTCGAAGAAAAAATATAAATGGCCAAAGCTCTTTAAATTTGTAGAACAATTTAAGATACACTTTTTTTGTTAAAATTATTCCAATACGAAACTGGATCAATACTTAAAATTTTTATTTCGCGTGGAATTTATTTTGCGTGATTTTTACACTTTTGATGCTCGATAGTGGAGTTTGACAATGGAAATGCACCTAGCTTTAAAAAAATCGCAATTCAAACGGCCAAAAATCAAAACTGAGCGTGAGCAAGTTTTAAGACTTTTTCCTTTATGTTCGAAATATACCAGATAATTATCCTAAATTATCCCCATTTACCATAATTTCGATAATTATCCTAAATTGGCAATCTTTAAATCCCCATATTTTTACGAAAAACGATAACAGGTGAGCCAGCTTTCTAACAATGTATCAGGACAATATCTTTCGAAAGACTTTTAAAAACAACCTTCAAAAATGGCTAGTGAAGAAGTCGAAGTTTGTCTGGAGAAAAAACACCTCGATCACAAATATTCGGTCATTCTCCTCAAAAATACTCGGAGCAAAAACTATTTTATCTCGTAGTTCTACGATAAAGGTCGCAACAACAAACACCAATACGGGATATTGTTTTTTTTTTTTTCAAAATTGCAGCACTATTAAATATGACATTTGAGTGTACGCTTTTTGAGCGTACAGTCGTCAAATATGACGCCAGCTCCTTCCGAAGAACATCTACTTAGTTGTTTCGAAAGTTAAGCTCAAAATAATTGCAATTGATTAAATTTACCAAAGTAATTTGAATTGAACCCATTTGAACAATACAACAACGCATATTTACAATTCAAAATTATTTACAAACATTATTTTAGAAATCAAATTTACATTTTGACAAAACACTTGTATTTTACATTTCAAACTAAATAGTTCAATCTGATTAAAATTTGAACAATTTCATAACAAAGCCTTACAAAAGCATAGAAATAATAGAAAGCTGAATTGGTATTCTGCAACTTGGAAAGTTTTTTTTGGCAATTGCCTATAGAAGATTGTAGCACAAGATTATCTTGTCGAAACTCACAAAGGCTCCTTTGCGAAATTCGCTGAAACCAAATGTACATTTTATTTCAACATATTGGGTACAAATGGTTATAAAAAAACTTGTTAAAAATATCTAATACTCACCATGTGAACAGTCGCTTTCCTTGGTAAGTTCCGTCGTGTTTTCCAGCTGAAAAACAAGATAAAATGATACCAGCGTTGATTCTTATAAATGAAATTGCGCATCTTGAATTTTCACAAAGAGAAAAACCCGAGGACAAATCACTGTATATATATTTCGACAACAAAAGATTAAATCAATCTAGAATTTTGATTAACCTGAAAAATCATAGATGCATTTATATTGTTTTCAACTATTTGCAAGCCAGTTTCAAATTTTCCGAGCAGAGGTTTTACATTCCCGAATGGAGTGAAAAATACTAACTGAGTCACTATTTTGGGATACAACAACATGCTACCTATTCCTGCAACTTCAACTGTTGCCACCAACGTCAAAACTAACATTTTTGACATCAATGTCATTTCTCTTAAGGCTTTCAAGGCCGTTTAATGAAACCAAATAAAAAAATCCGTGAACCCAATCTTCTAAGTTACCTAGTTTAAGTTGAACATAAAAGTATTTCACAAATCTCACCTCCTGCTTCTAGCTCCACTCCCAGGTAGTAGTCGTTTCTTCCGGGCAGTTTGCCCGCATACTTGATGATTCCATGACTCACTTTGCCCCCCTTGCGGGAGAATTTCACCCTGTCTCCCTTCCGTGCATCCGAAGGCACTTTGGGCAAGTAGAACTTTGGCGCATCCAGAGAGGACCTGCATAATTTGATCAGTCACTCATAATCACCAGCGGATTTGAATATATAAATTTGAGGGGAAAACGCGCGCCGAAAAACGCGATTTTTTTGGTCAACATTTTCCAAAGTGCCTAAAAGGCCTCTTTTCAAAATTTCGCCTGCGGCGTAGAAAATTTGGTCAACATGGGGTTTTTATAGTGATTTGTGAGGGCTCGGAAAATCAATTTGGCTGACCTAAAAAAACGGTCAATAAAAATTCAATTTTTTTTTTTGAAAATCCGAACCCCCCCTCGAGAAAATCCTAGATCCGCCCCTGCTCACCATTTTTGAAACTGATTTAACATTTTACAGTAGCAACCAAAGCTTATCAAAAAGAGAAGATCAATTTCAATAATCTGCTGCCAAGCAAATTTAGGAAACTATAATTTCGTCAAAATAAAAAAAAATACAGAAAAATTTTTTGCTCTTAATTTTTTCGCTCTCATTTTTTTAATCCATTTCAATTCTTGAAATACCATAGAACCAATAATTTTATTTCCAGTTCATGTGCCCGACGTTACGGTCTGAAATTTTAACTCGCCATACACAATTCTTTCCCATCATTTATCATTTTTTATTTTTATCATATTAATGTGTCCAAATCGAAATGATTTCCAAATTCTTCTTCGCTTTCTTGATTTTATGTAGGTTTGTAACATCATTAAGCAATTAAAATGCCAGTCAGCGAGCGAATTCCGACATGAAAAAATCACCGTTTTGTTGAAAAATACAATCGAGGTAATTTCGACCCATTATTGAGGATCGAAAAACTTCTAACAGCCATTTGCTCACTTTTTCAGATTTGTGTTTGAGCCACACTTGCTGTTCAAACTGTTCGACAGTTGGCTCGAACTGTATCTTTTCATATCTACGTATTTCTGAGGCGATGAGGACCTTTTCTGGGTAGCACTTCTGCCTGAACCTGTGAAATTCGGACTGGGTAACTGTTTCATTCCGTTGCGGGCATAACCACTCCAGGCTAAACAAAGTCAGTATAGTATAAAAACGGTGGATTCCCTAGTGCCAGTAGAACCGAGGCCCTAAAAATTATAACAGCTAATCAGAATTCATTATTCAAAAGTACTTAATTACTAAGCGATTAAATCAGTCAGTTTTGTAATTCAAAAAAACTGATTGGTTGCAATTTTTTGCGCATTCTGTCCTGTGAATACCCCCCTGAAAACAGATTATATACCGTCCATTTTAAAATTTGTGTTTTCATTTATGTATTTTGACATCCGTTCTTCGTTTGAAGTAATTAAACTTTGCATCAAATAATTAGATTGGCAACAAAGTTGGACAAGTGACAATGCAAATGAGGTTTTCTTTTGAGCTTCAAAGAAAAACAACATAACAATCTTTTGTTTCCATAAGCTCTTTTGTTTCCAAAAAAATTAACACATTCTAAGAAAACTGGACCAATAGAAGAATTTTCTTTCCGATTTCTTAAAACACAGAGGCGAAGCGGCATTTCGCAAACGAAGCAAAGGTAAAAGGGAGATTCAGAAATGTAAGAAAATATAAAAATAGATTTGAAAAGAAAACATTTTCAACTGCTTTGGAAAAGAGTAATGAACGCAAGGAAACGGAAAAAACACCAACTAGTAAAGAAAAAATATTTGTCCTTAAAATTCTTTGAATTTCACGATCATTTTATGTTTGACCCTTTTTTGATTAAAAAAAATTAACCCAATTTGATTTTAAAAAATTAACCCAATCTGAGAAAATAAACCCAAATTGAGAAAACCAATTTGAGATCAATAGGTAAAATTCTTGTTTCGCTGGGCAAACTCATAATTAAATTCCATTTTCGGTATTAGCAGTCGATCGCGTTCTTCATGACCTTAACATTTTTGCTGTTAGATGGAGTCTGCCTTCCTTTTAACAATGGAAAAGCACTGAACTTGAAAAGAAATCAAATGTCAACCGCGAAAAATCAAAATTGATCAAAATTCTGAAAAAAAAACAAACACTAAAAAATTGCCGAGAACTATATCAGAGTACTCAATACGTTCAATGCCCTTAAACATAATTTTCAAACTCTTCGCAACTGCTCTATAGCACCTGTAAACTAAGCACCAGCCACCAATAATGCGGATGAAACACATGTTATCAAGTTGTCATGTAAAATTAGGATCAGGGCAGGATCCAGATATTGAAATTTAGCACTGGTGTATTCGAGTTAGATAGGAAAAAGTGAACCCGTGGTATAACGCAAGCTCTTGCGTATGTTATTAAAATCCACTATCGGAATTAAAATCAATCACTTTTTCTCACCATTTGTTCGTATTATTTCAGAAGGTGATATGCTTTTCAGTGTTTCGACTTGAAGAAAGTTAGGAATTGAAAAGCAAAGAAATTTGATAGCTTGGGGATCGACCCGGAAATCTTTGGAGTGCCAAGCGATTAATAAATTCATTTTTTAGTGTGGACAACTTCTATACTTTTTCCATTAAAAAACTATTAAAAAATGCACGAGCCTACAAAAAATATCTTCATTCATTGACACTTTGCGAAAAAAAACATTAAGATAATCATTTTCAAAGTACCAACCGTCTGACACACAAATTGACTCCGCTTCTAATGTAGACTCAGAGTCATTGGCTGTCTCCGAGTCAGTGACCAGCAATCCATTGGCCTTCAGTCTGCTTCGAGTGGCTGAGCCACTAGGGTAGCTTTTGTTCAGTCTCTCCTCGTAGAGCGAGTCAGGGTTCCTATGAGTCCCGCGATTCATTACTGGACTGTCGTGACCGTTTTCTGAAATGAAACTCAGTTTATATTTTAGCCAAACAAAATACAAATACCAGTTTAAACATTATTTCGATTGCGTGCTGAGAAAATAATTGTAAACACACTCCTCCCCCCAGAATTACTAAGCCTGTTACACTTCGTACTTACTTCTGTTTTATTTAGATACTCCATGCATCCCGTTAGACATTATGGTCGGTGGCTATCATGGTTGATGACTTTATGGCTTAACAACGATAAAATTTGTCTTTGCCGCCAATTTATAACAAAGTAAAGGTGGGAGCGTGCACGAAAAAATCTTTCAGCTAAAGTGGGATCATATATTGTTTAGAGAGAGATCAAAGATAAGCTGGTTCGACACGCAACAAAAAAGATCGACAAAAATTTAAGCGCACCCTTGCCCGAATATTTAGACTTATGCAAAACACTACGCGAAATAACTGAGTTGTAAAAAAAATAGATGCTAGTTGGCATTTCAATGGTTTAAATCAGAACTAAATTTTGCTAGCTTATTTCAAGCGTAATAGTAAAATGCAGTACCGTTAGCAGTATCATCATCTGAGATGATAGTAGCATCACTGGATTCATTGTCCTCACTACTTGACCGCCTACTCTTGATGTATTTCACTGATTGTCTCTTATTACCACCTCCGCCACTTGTCGCTGAATTCCTAGATGTCGACCTCACTCTTCTCCCGTGCGACTTCGCTTGACCTTTCGACCTATTTGGTGACCTGTTAGGTGAGGTTTTGACCCTGTGGCTGATTGCTCTGCCTAGTGATGATTGTGGTTTGTTTACTATAGTTGTGACAGGTGGTGGCACTGGATTGACGGCTAAGAGAACTTCAGTTGAGTCACTTTCGGCTCCATTTTGATATGATTTCGTCGTGACATTGTAAAGCAGAGAGGCAGCGTTCAGCTTGTCAATTTGACGCTCAATGATAGATTCTAAAAACAATCAAAATATTGAAAATTCAGCCCGAATGACTTTTCAACTTATCTAAAAAAAAACACTCATTTCCGACCTAGTGGACCAAAAAAAATAACTTTCATGCTACACTTATCACTTTTGTTAAGTACCTATTTAAACCTGGGAGCTCTATTCTCTAAATGACCAAAACATCAACGAGCAAACGGATTCTAAAACTGCTTATTACATTTTTATACTCTTTGGGTATTTTACCTGCAGTTGAAGAGTGTCCGGAAACATATTTCCCACTTTTTCCCAATTGGTCGTTACTCCTCTTATCAGCTGACCACGTGCTTTCTACTCCATTGAGGTTGAAATGTTTATCACTCAGAGCACGTTTTAGAATTTTCTCGTCTTCGGGATCCAGGTCCAAATCACTCAGCTGATTTGCACTTAGCTTGTCGTCTGATAACTGAATGAGACTTCCAAACAGCTCCGATGGTCTCTTCAGTTTGTCGAAGTTGTCTCGAAGTCGCACCCATTCAAATTCCCTACGTATCAAAATGAATAGCAACTTAGGACATGGGTTTATTATGCGTTCAGTAATCAATTAAATATGCAGCGAAAATGTAGAGATCTAATAGGTTAAACTACGACACTTGGGTCCCTAGAAAAAGCAAGTACAAAGATAGGGTCCCGCCATATTTATACACAGAGCGGAGCTTCGCATCACTTGCGATAACACACAAAAAAAACATTGAAAACCAAAAAAATGTTGAATAAGTAGGTCTACCAAAATTTAAATTTTCGGATATCTCAATGATTGGCACAATTTCGTCCGTTTTATTTATTTACCAGATTTCGCCATATACAGGTTTCGTCCCATATCAAACATCATATCATCCCATATCCAAATTTTTGGGACGAAATCTGTGTACACTTTGAAATGGGACAAAATCTGTTGAAATTAAAATGGGACGAGATCTGTCAGGGGACGACATCTGTCACCGCCATCTCGATAAAAGTTTGTTCTAGGCAAACATGCCAGACAATTGAATCTAAAATTGCAACAAAACAAAACTTACAACAAAACTTTACAACAAAACTTACAACGAGTGACCAAATCCGACACATTTTAGCAGACAAGTTGAGCCGAAAAAAAAGACTTCATAAAAAAAACTTTCAAGTCTCTCTTGAAACTACTATGAAAAAAACTTGCACTTACAACTATTCAATTACAATGAAATTAGCTTACAGTACAAAAAACCGTGACGTGGCAACGAAGCCAACAATCTTTGAGCAGACACCAATTGATCCGAAAACAAAAATAATTTTATTTTGAAAAACTAGTAAGTTTCAAGACCCCTGAAACTACATTGAACAACACTTGCTTTTGCACCTACAATGAAAATTGCTTAGATCATGAGCAAAATCCGTGATCTCGCAACTAAGCAGACAAACTTAAAGTCCGACAATTCACTTTATACAGGACAAAAAATGTCAATTGCATACATGCTTGAAAAAACGTCAGAACGGTGTTCGAGCCCTAGGCCTTAAATAGCGAAGGCGACAGCGTTCGTTCCCTCTAGGCTAAGTGGGAACGAATTTGAAAGTTGTTGAGCTTCGATAATTAAGCAAGTAAGAAAAGCAAGTAAAATTTGTAAGAAAAGTTGTTTACGGAAGAAAAAAGCTTAGGTCCCGATTACAAGACACTTGCTCTCGAAAGTGTAAAAAGTCTCAAAAATGCGATAAAACATTTGTTTTGAAAGCGCTCAAATTTTTTGGACCTTCATGGACCACCGATCATACTTTTACTATACATTAGATTGGCCAGACGAATAACCCGTTGAAAATTGACTACAATAGACCCATTTACAGGGGCGGATTTAGGGGGAGGGGGCGGACGCCCTCATCAGGGATTCGACCCCCTGCCGACCCAAATGCCCCCCTTGTACTGTATTGAGATGCCCATTTTTGGTGCCGGACTCTAAAATTTTTCTAAAGGCGCCTTCGGAAATTTTAGCCAAAACAGGGTCTTTATAGTGCTTTGGGAGAGCTGGGAAAATCAATTGGGTCGGCCCCAAAAAAAAACAAAATCTTCGACATTTTTTTGAAAATCCCCCCCTCGAGAAAATCCTAGATCCGCCCCTGGCCATTTAGATAAGAGATTTTACACTTACTGCTGCAGCCACTCTGAAAGAGTGGGATATAACTCTGCCAGTGGGTGATTTTTTTCGCTCAATTTTTAAGTTATTCAACGAACTCGCCGAGGGGTTAAGTATCTTATTATATAAAAACCCTTTCAAACGTGATTGATGATTCTGATTCCAAATAGACAGGTCACAAGTTCGTTCATTATCGAGAAAAACTGGTCTGCGTATTGTTATTTTTCGGAGTGATTAACAGCAGGGTAATCATGCTAATTGACCAATTTTATCACTCCCAATGTTTTAAGATAATTTCAGTAAGATTATATTACTCATTCCCTGAAGCCGAACTTTCTATTCAGGACCCAAAAAATAAAAAAAAACATTCGACAAAATCGTATTTTCATTTTGTCAATTTTCCCAACCTTGTAACAAATACTGAAAAACTTCAACAAATACTGTAACAGTATCTATAGGCGCAACAGTAACTTCGTATCCTTGGTAATTCTTCATCCTCAGTCAATTCTTTTTCAGCTTACTTGAAGAAAAATTTCTTCAACTTCAAGAGGGACTTCATACATGTGGTTTGCGAGCAATGACCTCGCCTGTTTGTTATGTTCCAACTCACTTGTTCTTGGCCTCGTCGTTCTTCAGTTGTTCTCGCACAGCGGCCAAGTTGGTTCGTATCTCCTCCAAATCAGCTAAGGCTGCCTTCCTCTGCTCCATGAATGTACTCCTCTGCGGTCTACTCATGTTACCAGCTAAAACATCGCTTGAGATACAAAATATTCATTGAAGCAGACATGTCTCTAAATGAATGCATGTTTCATAAGCAAACAAAAGTTGTTAATGCGCACACCGGGGATCGACGGTTAGTTTCGCAAATAATACCAGAAACAGATCTTTAAAACCCTATAGAACATTGTAATCAGATCACAGATCTAATTTGTATAACTTAATCAATTGACAAATAATTCACAAATCGGAACCAGGATAGCCGGTTGCTCTGCAAGTAGCACAGAATGATCCGACCATTTTCTTTAAAAAGATACATTAAGTTTTTTCAATATATCGTTGTTAAAAAAAGTTTTTTTTTCATATTAGAGTCGATTTTTGGCCGTGGTGCGATAAAAAGGATCTGACAAAAGCCTAGAACTTAGGCGTATTCGACATTCACACCAAAACAGGCAACTTAGGCATTAATTTTGTTTTAAAACGACAAAAAAACATACGAGAATTAAAACGTTCAAAATTGAACCAAAACTGAACTAAAACCAACTTTCGAAACTTCAATTCGAAATCTAAACCAGTTTCTCTTGACACTGGGTCAAATTTATAAAAACTTTTTGATGTCTTTCAAATCAGGGCTGAAAAAGTTTTAATACACTATATGACTCTTACCATTCCGATGATTATTTGAGGATCCAAAATCTACTAAGTCTGCGTCAGAAGTGCAGCTTTATGGAGCTGAAACATGGTCCATCAAAGTAACTGATGTCAAACGAATGGATGTCTTGGAAAGCAGGTGCTGACGAAATATTCTCCACAACGGATACAACCAAACATCATCAGAATTCAAGCCGAAATCAAAACTGGATGAAAGCATAGCATTGACAATACAACTCAGAAGGCTGAAAAGGCTCGGTCATGTTCTTCGCTTGGACTCCTTGGAGATCCCAAATGCTTCACTAGAGTTTGAAAAAGGAGAGGCCTGGCGACTACTACCAGGGGTCAGCAGAAAGTCGTACCGCAAAACAGTCCGAGATGAAATTCAAAATCATGTGAAGCCGCCCAAAATTACAATCAAGACAAGGGAGAATGAATGGTTCGAACGATTCAAAGACTTGGCACAAAACAGGAAGCGGCGGAGAGCTTTGTGGCGAGATATCACTGTGGCAGACAACCATCAGCATTGCCTCAAATAGCCCTACCAGGACCTGTGGTAACTTCTCTTGGTTGAAAAACGAATTGCCTTCTGGCTCGCTTTTCTCGGTCAAAACTAGACGAAATATCAAAAATTAGAAACCTGTTTTTTTTTCGATACGGGGACGACTTTTTGATAATTTTTTTTAACTGAAAGGGCTATAATATGATATATCACTGGAACTATTCTGATGATCATTTGCGGTACCTGATTTTGCGTAAAAAAAACTAAAACACACCCGAATACAAACTTCCTTCCACTTTTTCAAATGGTCGGAACAGAAACTGCTATTTAAGTTAGCAAAGGACTAGTATCGGCCAAAAACCTTCAAAAAATGATTTCTCGGGCTCAAAATTTGCTTCAAAAGATCCCAAATAAATGATTTCTCTATTTTGACAAAATTAAGTCATTCTACAGGGAGCAGACAGAGCTGAGATAATCAAATCCATCAACCTAGAAGGGGTTGATAATTTTAAAAAGCATTCATCCCTATATTGCATATTCGCCACGTAATAAAAAAAATGTTGAGATTACACAAGGAGAGGGGTACAGTTTATCCAAGGAGGGTACTAAGAAAAGATATTATTCACACCAAAAGACAGCACGCCACGCCACTCCAAGTTACCTGGGGTTTGGTACAGGGTCTTTTCAGACCCCTCGTACCTCATTTCAGCCATATCTTCGTCATTTTTAAAATCTGGATTAGATTGGTTAAACAGGGGGTCATTTTGCGTTATGCGATCTACTAAGCGGTCTATTTCCTTGTCAGTGGCTTCTAGCAATTCTGCGTGGTCTTCCAAAAGACCTTCGCGGAACTTTTCTGAAAACAGTCAAAATTTATGATGGGATTTGAAACAATTGCTCTAGTTAGTTAAGTATGTGATAACATTCGAATAAGTTTACTAAAATTTTTCTACAAGAATGATAGCAATAGCGTTCTGCTTAAGTTACATGTAACTATCTATCTTGTGCTTATTCACTTTTTTATATAGAACTGCAGCTAAAATTACCATCCAATTCGATGTCCTTAATCAACATTGTTGCAAAATGAATTAACAATAGAAAAATGGGAACTCTATAATACCTATTGGGTTTTTAGACTTGGAGATCTCCTGCATATTTCCGAACTCCGCTTCCCTTTTCCTCTCTGAAGACTCTTCTAACTTGCAGTATCTATCATGCAAGTCATCATTCTTCACTTTCAAATCACCCAGACGTTCTCTGAGAAAACTGATGTTTGATTTTGTGTAGCTGAGATCAGGTGCTACAAACGAGTCGTCCGATTTGGGCGAAACTTCATACTGATTTTCTAAGTGGCCATTGGTCTGATGGCCATTTTTCTGTTGGCCATTTGCAAAATGGTCAAAATTTGAACTCGATGAAGGACTTTGTACAGGTTCTTTACTATGCCCATTTTGCATGTATTGGCGGATCCCGTATGGTATCTGACTTCTCCTGTTGCCATCATCTACTGCAGACAGTGAATTACTCGGGCTATGATTATCTTTTTCCCTCTTGGGCGAATATGATTCTCGGTTTTTGTGATTGTCAGTTTCCATAATGGGATCTTCGTTAGATTGCGGCAAAGGATTGGATTTTTGTTCCTGGATGGACTCCGACATATCGGTGACGGGTTCTGTTTCTTCGTCAATCGCCGCGAACGTTTTTGATTGGTTCAGAGACATTTGCAAGGATTCAACCTGAAATATAAACATCAACTCATGCACACTTGGAAAATATGCTTCGAAAAACTTGAATTACCTCCTCATAAAACAGAATTATTTCTTGCAGCTTAGCTCATTCTACTTCAAAGCTAATAATTTTTTCAAAACAAAATCTGTAAAAACGTAAATACTACATACTTTTTTGTCCAAGATTTCCTTCTCGGCTTCTAGTTCACAAATAACCCGTTTTTGGATTTCAACTTCTTTCAACAGCGCGTCGTATTTTGGGTCTACGTCTGAAATAAAATGAAACAGATAAGTTTTCACATATATGCTTGGAAACTGCTCAAAAAGGTTACCTCGTTGTTTGTAATAAACTTACCATTTTTTCTTTGACCTCTGTTGTCTCTTTCTAGCATTGAAATTTGCAATTCCAGTCTTTGATTTTCATCTTGCAGATTGTGAATCTCGTCTAAATCCTGTTGAAAAAAAAGACAAAATACCTCATGACATGTCTGTAACTTTTATAGAGCCCTCGAGAGAATCGAAGAATAGAGATTTTCAACTTTAGGGCATCAAATTCAACTTTAGAGCAACAAATCAAATCATCAGGTAACAAAACGCCGTATCAAAATAGCTTATTTTTGTTCTGGCCACTCACTTTGATGCGAATATATACTTGAATGATATCTCAGTTTATTGGCATTCCAGCAAAAGTCAAAAATAATACTCGAACGATTAAAATAAAATATAAATTTCTTTTTCGAACGCTTTCCACTTACAGACTGTTGCAGCTTCTCCAGCTCCGACTGGAGGTTCCGGTTGTTCCTCTGCAGCTCCAACATGTCTCGCTTCAGTCTCAGTATCTCGTTGTCTTTCTCTGTGTTCCTTCTGTGTAACTCCTGGATCTCACTGTCCAAATCGGAGTGTCTACTTCCTTCTTCCTCAATATATCCAGTCTAAGGAAGAGAAAAACAGTCAGTTAAATTCGTAATTACGTTAAACGATTTTATATTGAAATTTGACTAGCTAGAATGGCTTCAAAGAAAACTAATTAAATTGTGACAGAATGAAATAAACTCAATGGAAAACGCAATGGAAATACAAAATTGGAACTTCCCGAATTCCATTAAAAAGATTCTGAAATAATTGAAAAAAAAAACATTCAATAAAGCCAAGCAATAATACTTATTACGCAAACTGACCTCGGACTGTCTAGGCGTAGAAACCGGAGACAACTTTGTGTCAATCACAGTCGAAGGTGTACTTCGTCCTGGTGTCGTGATCATTTTCGGCGACCCGTCCTTCTCTATATTACTTTGCGATGACGTCATTTGTTCCACTTTCGTCGAATCTTTTGAGTACTTTCGAATCATTTGATTCACACCATTTTCTGAAGATTTATTCTCTTCTTCGTCTTCTTCGGATGTTTTTAGACGAATTTCTTCATATTCTCCGTATTCCGTATCAATTTCATTTTCAACATAAGTTTTATCTTGAAACTCAAATTCGTTCTCATCAACACCTTCCAAATTATCGTCTTCTTCTTCAATTCGATTCTCTTCGTCTAATAAATTTTTACCAAATAGATTGGAAAATACGGACTCTGTTTCGGGGACGTACGACACACTAATTTGTTCGTCTTCTGCCGAACTGTAGCCGACGCCTGTCGGATCTTCGTCCTCTGAAGATCGAAATTCTTCGTCCGAAACCGAAATTAGAAGTTGCTTTCCCTTTACTCTTTGTTCATTTTCCGATAACTCTTCCAATTTGTCGTTATTGTTGCTTTCGTCGCTACTTGATATGTACTCACCTGAAGCGTCTGCAATCGAATCTACAAACAAACAAATAGGCGCGCATTTTATTGAAATATTTTTTGTTTATTTTTATAAATGAGCAATATACGTGAGCGCGACGATGATTCAGTAAATAATCAATGAAAGCGTACTATAGGACGGCGGTATAAGTGAACGACAATGATGATTGAAATTTCAATGATGAATACAGACGTACACGATATATTTTCCTCCTTCTAAAGTCATAAAAACCGAATATTTCATAATTTAACATCCCGCTTTTCTATTTTAGCTCTGCCATTTTGCATTACAAATTAAATATTTCCAATTTCGACGGTCAAAGGAAAAATTTGCAAAGCAAGCGGGAAAAGTCTGAAATCAAACGAAGTAAATCAATATTTCATCTTCCGTTAAACACCTTTGATAATGTAAATATTACATGAACATTTAAATATTAATTTATATCTCGATCTGTAGATCTATTTTGGAGACATATGTACTTTTTAAAACAGACAAATTTGAATGGTTCAAGCTTGAAATGAGAATTCAGTCAAACTACATATCAAACAATCAAGAACTTGTTGTTGAAATCATCTTATTTCACACAATGGACCTTTTAAAACTGATAACTTTGGTACAGACTCTATTTTCTACGATTCAAGATAATTCAGTGATTCTCTGTGATTGTATTTTCGTTGAAATTTCTTTAAAAAATCAATTTAGCTCTCTCGAAAAGATTAGATTTGTTTGTGAGAAAATTGAATGGTTTTTTTTCTCAGTAATCAAACCTTATCTTTTCGAGAGAGCTAAATTATCTTGAAAGAAACACTGAATTATCTTGCATCATTTTATCTAAGAAAACTATAAAGTATCAGCAACACGCAACACGTTTCTCATACAATAAACAATGTTCATCGCCATGAAAGATTGGAATTAACAATAAAAAACTTTATGGCTTAAGAATAAAAAAAACTCTATTGCTAACTGAACCACGGAAAAAAAACACGGGTTTGGGTTGCTTATGGCCAATTTAACCACGAAAAAAAATGGGGGTTTGGATTTAGTGCAGTATTACCTCTAGTACCTAGTAGCATACTCCCAGTACCTAATTCTTGGATATTCCACTATAAAATAATGTTTTCAGAGGACTGAATCAGAATGACAATGCCTGAGGACGAAAAACATCGCGTATCACTGCCTCTAACATTAACCAGAAACAACCGAGAAAGAAAAAAAACAGAAAGAAGATGTGAGACAAATTATTTAGATGTCTCAAAACTTTCTGATCAAGTTCTTCCAGGAGTCACATTAGCTGAGCAACAGTTTCGTTTCTCTTTTTCTTCTATACTCAAATGATGCTAAATTTAAACTTCTAGAACGTTCGTAATATGTGAGCCTTGGAGTCCCTCAACCAGGCGGGTCGGAATCCTCTGCACATTTTCTAAAATACTTTTGTGCTTTTTCAATCTCGGTCGTCATATTAGATAGGCGAACTGAAGGTGTGGTCGTATCAATCCTAAAGGAATGATCGGAACCGTACAACGTTCTCTGGCGAGGAAAAAGCCGGTCAACAATAAACTGAAAAAGCAATTATGAAGACCTCAGAATCTAGCGATTCGTCAAGAGACAACTGAGGCATTTGCCTAGTTGTCTTCATTGTACTTGTTGAACTTCCTTCCTCGTCTTCTTGGCTGGAGTCATTTTTTTCAATCATGGTTTAAGGTAAATCATAGTTTCTTGGCTTGTAGACAAGCCTTTTCATTGGGAAAAGAGAAATGTAACATCCTTCTATTCTCCTCCCAATTTGTACCGGTTGTATCCCGCACAAATGGGGGGAAATAATAGGGGTTGCTACAAAAATTCTGATGGAAATCGACGCTGGAGCAGTTCAAATACACGCAATTTGGAACAAGGTGACAGAAATAAGAACACATCAAACCCATTTGAACATTCTGTGAAGAAATTGACTGACCAGGGTTAATTTTGAGCACAACTCTATTTCTGTTCGGGAACACTTCGAAACTGTTGAGAGGGTAGAATGAGTCATCGCCTATGATGAGGCTGCCCTCGTAGGGACCCACGTGCACTGAGACTGGCTTGGACTCAAACACATCTGTGCTCTCATCCAGTCGCAGTTCCACATCTATCTCCTAAACACACTCTCAGTTTGAACCAAGTTTGAATAAAAGTCTGCGCAAGAAAGAGATGAAATTAACGCCGTCTTAAAATTTGTTTTTATCTGAAACTGTTCATCTATAGATGGAATTATCTTCATAGAGAGAATTATATCAACAGAAAAGTTCTTACAAATTTGAGTAGATTGCAAATTAAGGAAACAGGTATTTTGTGCAGTTTAAAGGCAGAATAAAACGATTTTAAGCTATAGAGGTATGACTGATAAAATTTTCGCTTGAAAAAACAACAGCCATTTCGTCGACTGAAAACATGTTTGAAAGAAATCAATAAACAGTCAAAGGGAAATTTAAAACTTATTTTTGTGGTAGAATCATTTCAGTGTGATATAAATTCCTGGTTTTAATAGAATCATTCAGGATTTGGCCTACCGGGACCCGTGATTGTATATCAGCTTCTGCCTAAAAAATAACTACATTGGATCTTGGATCCCTCTCCTGCAAAACCCATTTTATGCAATTGACTATTGTATGAATTGCTGACTCAATCGTCAAGCTTCTTAGAAAACTCAGTTTCGATTCATTAAAAATTAAGTTGCCATATTCTTACATTCAAATTTTAATGAATTAATAGCATTTTCTAATGTCCAAAAGAGGTGGACAACAATGTATTGTTGAGGATATCGTCCCTGGTCATTGAAGAATCTTAAAAATAGTTATTTTGACTTTCATATTTGGAAGTGAATGCAATCTCTGTACCTCAGTGGCGGCGTAAAGTCTGAGCACGACTAGCGAGAACTGTGCATGTTCTGCGGGAAGAATGACATCGGAGTCCCGGAACCAGAAGAACGTGATCTCCTTCATCGCTAAAAAAAGTTTAGAATTTCAATTTCAACTCTGATAGACTCAAAATGGACACGAGTATCTTCGATAAAACACGAAATAATTTGTAAAATCGGTCACCCTCATGCTTTAAATTCACCGATGAGATTTGTTTTAAGGTTTTTTTACTTAAGTAGTTTGTAGTTGTTTTTGTAGTTTTAAGAATTGGAATTATCTCAACCTTAAATCGGACGGACACAAGATTAATGTCAGCCGTCTCTTTTGTGATTGATTTTTTCAGCAATTGCACTTGAGTGACTGACAGATTGACAGTAAGGAGCTTGAAGTAGGCATATGGCGGCATCCATCTCAACGTTAACTAAGCTAGTCATGTAATTTGAAGTTTATTCAAAAAATTGTTTTAACTTTTGTAATATTGAGAGTTTCCTCATATTTAGTATCAAATATGTCCCTTTATATCACCTTTAAATCTCACATTAAACTAAAAAAAACTAAATAAAAAATGAACTATTCAAACTGATTTTCTGCAATTTTTTTAGAAGACTTATCATATAAAGTAATGGAAACGAGGTACAGCAATGATACTTGGTTGCCTTAATAATAATAATAAATTCATACCCATATATTTCTGGGTTCGAAAGTAGCATACCAATCTTCTCGTTTTTTTTTACTTCAAGACAATAGTGGTGACCCAACGATAAAACTTGCTTTTGCACGGACTCAAATATCATACTTACACTAAGCATGCTTTGGAGCATGCTGCGGTCTTCCATTTACATCTCCGACTAAGCAAAATCCCGGTAACTTATAACTCGTGTGTTTATACATCTCGGTAAATGATTGTCAACCGCCAGAAAAAAAACGCAATTCGAGTAACATCAGAGTGAAAACAGCTGTTCTACGTAATGGTTGAAGAGTCAGTTCAATAATCTGGTCAGTTCTCTCGTGGACTTGTTTTATTTAAACTTGAATGATAACTATGATCAGTGAACTTACGTGGGGGTGAGTTGAGTTTGCGCACTTCCTCCCACTCGTCCGATCCAGACCCAGTCGACATCTCTCACTCAATCATATCTGAAATGCACAACAAACAAATGGAAAATCTCGAGCGGCCATCGTCGAGCGCTTAAGGCGCGTGCCTCTTAACACGAGGGTCGTGGGTTCGGATCCCACTTCAGTCCCGATCCGAGGGTTCCCAAAGTCACCCGCCTCCTCAATGTGGGAGTGATTTCGGCGATATGGATTGCACCCCTCTCCTAGGAAACCCTGCAGTGGATAGGGACGTTGGAAAAACAAAGAATCTGTTTCTTACAACTAACAAACCATAGACAACAGAAAAATGTCGTTTTTCACTCTCGAGCCCAAAGACTGAAATTTCATTCATAAAACGATGTCCCAAATTAGCAGCTTTTTATCTTTTTTGGTAGTATCTTTTATAATTAATCAAACGAAAAGTTAAGGCGAAAAAACCTGCTTGAACATGAAGTTCAGGCAAAATAAAAACCGTCGTATGCTGATTAAAAGTCATGTGATATTCTTGGGCAGCAGGATGAGTTGAAAGAAAAAAAGCAATGCAACTTTCAGACAGAGAAGCAAAGAATTTCGTAGCAAACTTTGCGAATAGTTACAAACAGTCTGGAAGACAGCTGAAGATGACAACTAAAATCAGAAAACTTCCAAATAGAAATTTAAATAAAAAGCAAATAAAAAAGATTAAGAAGAATGGTAATATGAGTTTTCGTTTCAGAAAAAAATTGATATTTTTGTTACCACATAACAGATTATAGCCTTAATTTCAGCAAAAGCGATTAAAAAGCGGTTGGTTCTAAATTATAAGCGAAAGCAATCACGAAATTTTTAAGCGAAAAAGCGTTTAAAATTAACTGAGAAGTGGAAATGAATACTCGTGTTTCTTAAACTGACGTATTTATTCATATTTCGAAGCGACAGAAAAACTTCTTAAATGGCTTCAGGTGGCTTCATTTAATTCTTTTCTGGTACAAAGACAACAAAAAAGAATAGCTGGTTGCAGCGCTAGTAGCACTGTAGGTTCCCACTACCACAGTTAATACCTTATTCATTTTTTAATACTTTTTAAGTGTTTCTGGTTGAATCAATTTCTATCATGACTTCATTAACGAAATGAAAATGCTAGTAATTATAGCTCAAAATGATAAGTAAGAAATGATGTATGATTTCAAGTTAAAATTGTCTAAAAAGTGAGAACTTCAAACAGGTTTTTCTCGAGACTTTTTAAAAGTTCACCATGTACGTAGCAAAATAAAAGTATCAAAAATAAGGTATGATTTATCTCAAAATTTTCTCAAAATGACTATATGATTTCAAGCTTAAAATGTCTAAAAAGCAAAAATTCAATTTTCAAACGTTATTTTTTTTGAGACTGAGAAAACTTTTGAAAATTTCACCAAGGGTAGCAAAAAAATGTTTTTGATTGCAGCTCAAATCAAGACAGTAAGGGCTTTAATGAATTTTGAAAAAGTTTTGAATACTTTCTTAATTTAGAGACTACGTCTTGGGGGGCTATTCTCATGGGCGAAGGACCGAGCGGGCTAAGTTCTCATGGTCGAAGGACCGAATGGTCCGTTCAATTAAAAGAAATTAAATGAAGCAATACTTTACTTCTCTTTTATAACGTAACCCTTGAAATATAAAATTTGTTCTAATTCGCCGGCCGTCAGTGACAAATTGAAAATTTTGCCTATTTCTGCTGTTTTTATATTCGGCCGATATTAATATTTAGTCCCTGGAAATGTTAACTTTCTTTGAGATTTTCGCGCTTTCTTTCAAAATTTTTGAATACTGAAATCTGATTGGTTGATTTTTATTTTCGCTCATCCGGTCCTTCGCCTATCAGGATTCCACCGTCTTATTTGTCATTGATTCGACACTGAAACAACTTCCTTAATTTAAACCGGAAGTTTGACTTATGGAAATTTGAGGATTTAACATAATTCACTCATAAATCATATAGCCATCAGACAGAAAGTTTCAATGTAAAACTATATCACCATAAGACTGTAAATTTCAAAAACCTTTTATGACTGATATTTTTATGATTAAACCAACAGATTTTGAAAAAGCATGATCCATGGATAATTTTTAATCCACTGGGGAATCTAAAAAACTGAGAGTTATCATTTATAATTTCTCGCCCAATTGCACTTCGTTTTTCGACAGCTTAATTTGCTTCTTTATGATTTTGAAGTTTTTCGCAGATAAACCTAATTAACTTATTTTTTATCTGCTTTTTGATTTTTGTATGCAAACCTAACTCATACCCTGTATAGTATAGGTTCAGACGCTTGATGGATCTCATGATCCTGTTTCTTGTCTTCCCCAAGTCTCAGAATTTGATTGGCTTTTCCCGGATAAATTCCTTTCTTTCTTTTACGCAAATGGGAAGACTAAAAATTAGCATCTATTTTTTGAACTAAACGTCAAGCTCCATTTTCCAATCTGTTTCTACTTTTGACTTATTTGTGATTGTACTTTGCTTTCTAGTTGTTAACTGAATCCGAAAGAATGAAAATAAACCAAAGTCAAACCGTCAAAACATAAAAATAAACGTGAGTTTCTCTTGAAAAAGCACACAACTAAAATAAACGAAACAATTCAGCGACATCTGCTTTTTGAGTTCAGTTTTTGCCATCTCAATCACAACTGATGCTACCTTTGAAACATGGGAGCTTTATTTGAAGTACCTGAAATTGCGTGAAAACCCCATCAAACTGTTAATATCAAGGATAAGCTATGAATGATAAGATTTAAGAATCAGATAGCTAATATCAGGTTTCATTTGTTTTTTAAAAAAGTATTTTTATACAGTCAAAATATTTATTTATTTTTTGATTAGCTGATTCGAGTGATTGTTCTGTGGTGTTTCAAAATAAACACTATAATAGCCGAATTGATACTTGGCAGGTTTATAACTACTTGAAAAGAATCTGCTGGATTCTTCAAAAAATTTGGAGCACCAAAATTTTTAATAACAAAACTGAAAGTTTTTTCAAAACATGATATGTTAAAAACTATGTTTAAACTAGAAAATGGCCGCACTAGTAAATTTCAACCGGCTTTTTTCAGCATATATGAACAAAAAATATGCAATTATTTGAAAAAATGAGGTGAGATAGAAATTTAGTGCCCAACCTTGTGACAACTCGCTTTCTTGCAAACAAATGATTACAACAAAAGCTTTCTTAAATTGCTATAAAAAATCTGTAAAAACATCGAAAATTTTTTTCTGCACCACTCAGAGAAAACCTTGAGTCGATCTTCCGATCGCGTGATACTTATCCGTCAAGCGCCTACTTGCATTTGGAGTTTTTTCATAGGAGAGGAGAACTTAATTGTTCACTACGGAGTGGAGATTGTTCACTTAACCCTACTATTTTAACCCATGACAATCGAGACAAATATTATTTAAGATACCTAAAAGAGAAGCTGCTATTTCTATACTACAGCTTAATCTTGCGCGTCGGAATAAAAAAGCTATTGACATCTTCAATGAAATCATAGAAATTAAAAGATCATAATAAACTTTTGACTCATTTAAAAGTTTCACTTGAACATATTTGAATTCTTCATAAGCTTCATTTATCAACCGATTAACTGCATTGCGATTTTTCTCCGATTTGCTTTCTTTTACTTGACAATTTACTCTAAATAAATAACGGCATAATAATCCAAATCATTATAGCTTAGTGAGAATTTTAATAGGTGAGCTCTATTAATAATGTTCAACAGTAGTTAGCGTATTGGAACTCCAATACATGATTACAACTCAAAGTCAAGATTGCTATTGAAACCACATTGGTAAGACTTCAACTCAATTAACTCAACTAATAATCTTCTTTCTCTCAAAATTAAATGACATCATTTACTATCACTGTCTTCTCTTAATTCATCGCTGTAATTGGAGCCTAGACTGGCCTTGTTTTGACTGGACTGACCCGTAGCTCTTCGTTCTTTTGACAGCGACATTTCAGATACAGCCAGAGACGATCGTTCAGTCCCCACTGGACCCGCAACATATCCAGATGACACTCCGGATTGCATCGATTGCTTGCTTCCAGAGCCGCCTCTAGTAGTATCCTCGCGAGCTGAAAGTCTTTTTTCATCCTGCTGCGGGTCCGCTTCCATCTTTTGCTCTTTAGCTGATTCCTTTTTCTCGGCATCTTTTTCTTTCTTCTCAGCATCTTTATCTTTCTTTTCAGCATCTTTTTCCTTTTTATTCTCAGCAGGCGCTTCTTGAGCAGACTCTTTTGGTACTTTCTGCTCTTTCACTGTTTCAGTTTTCTGTTCTCTGGCAGACTCTTTCTTAGGCTCTTTTCTCGGTTCTTTCGCTGATTCTTTTTTCTGCTCTTTCGCAGGAACAGCTTTCTGATCTTTCTTTTCCTCAATTTTCTGCTCTTTCACAGGAACAGCTTTCTGATCTTTCTTTTCCTCAACTTTCTGCTCTTTCGCAGGAACAGCTTTCTGATCTTTCTTCTCAACTTTCTGCTCTTTCGCAGGAACAGCTTTCTGATCTTTCTTATCTTCAACTTTCTGCTCTTTTGCTGCTTCTGGTTTATCTTTTGCTGAATCTTTCTTTTCGTTTGACTTCTTGGTTTCCTGGACTGTCTTCTGGGTTCCCTTTCTCGCAGCTTCTTCTGCTGCCACCGGAGCCACCTCTTTCTGTATATCCTTGGACGCTTCCTTATTATCTTGGACAGTATCCTTCCTCGGTTCTTCGGGAGCTTGCTTTTCCTGCTTTACAGTTTCTTTTTTGTCTTCTTTAACAGTCTCTTTCTTTTGTTCTTTTGCAGGCACTTTTGCAGTCTCATCTTTTGTTTCTTTCGTCAATTCTTTCTTCGGTTCTTTAGCTGTCTCTTTCTTTTGCTCAGTCACTGTTTCTTTCTTCTGGTCTTTTGTAGCCAAATCCTTTTTCTGATCCTTAACTGTCTCTTTCTTTTCATCTTTGGTGGTATCTTTTTTCTGTTCTTTGGCTGATTCTTTCTTAGCACCTGAGTCTTTATTGGCATCAGATTCCTTCTTCGCCTCTTCTTTGCCTTTCTGGTCCTTCTTGGATGCTGCTTCTGACTTCGCAGACTCAAATGACCCGTATTCATCTTTGTCATTCTTGTCTGAAGCCCTCCTCGCAGCGACGCCTGCAGCTGCTGTTGCAACCCCGGCGCCTGCTGCGGTAGCTGCTAAGGCAGCCTCAGTGCCAGCCCCAGAGTGCTTCCTAACGTCTTCAGACCGGCCTTGATTATCAGCACCCTTGTTTTCTACTTCTTTAACCGGTTGTTGCTCTTGTTGAGCACTCCGCTGTTGTGCCTGCCGACCACCCTGTTGCTGCTCATTTTGATAGTTCTTTGCTGTTTCCTTCTTTGGTTCATTTTTAACTTCCTCTCCGGGTTCTTGTGCGAGACCTTTCTTCTTAGAATCCAAAGTCTCATCTCTGAACTCAGTCTTGTCGAGTTCGCTCGGTCCGATTCCTGTTCTTGCAGTTGATAGTGACTTCTTAGATACCGATCTGTCTAGAGTTCGTTTGTCGTCAATTGATTCATCCGGAACAACTGCTTTGCTCTCCAAATTGTAAGTTGAGTCCGGATTCTGTTCCTTGTTTAGACTGTTTGTGTATTGAGAACCTCCAGTATGATAACCTCCAGTATGAAGTTTGAGAGCCGCTTTTTCTTCATCATAGCGAGGCGGTTTTTTCTTCTTCTTCGTAGAAATAGAATTTCATTAGAACAAAACCACAGGACTAATTTAAAGCAAACTAACTGCAATCTACTTATCTGTTGCAAATGACACACGCGCATAAGATGATGATAAAAGTTACAATTAGCAGACACTGAAAAAGGGTATTTTTGAATCAGATACACTAACAAACTAAACTTTCATCAAAGATCGAACTTACCAGAAGACCAATCAAGATTCCTAAAGCAGTTCCATTACTTAGCTTCTAGTTTTTTCTTCAATAAAAAACATCAAAAATAACAGCTAACCTGCGGCGACTTTACTGCTCATTTTGCCTTTATTTTAATTTTTAAGAATTAGCTAAGAAATCGCTTCATGATGCGAAATACGATGTCGCTGTTCTTGACAGCGTAAGAGAAAGTATGAACAACTTTTTGACTTCTGACTTTTTTCAGCAATTTTATTCGCTAGCCAGCAGAAGTTACGAAAGCTGCTTTTTTGGATATTAGAAACTTTTAAAGTATGCCTAGAAACAAACTCAGTTGTCAATAATGCAGATGCCGAAGTCTCCACAATGTGGCCTTATAGAAGAAAATCATTATTGACATGAAGCTAATTTTTTTAATCAAGTGGCAATTTTACGAGCTTCTAGCTGCAACTGCTTGCAGCTTGAAATTCGCCTGCTATAATCAGCTTAATATGTAGAATTGTCAAACAGTAACAACAAAACCAGACCAAAAGATAATGTGCAATTCCTATTTCCTTTTAACTTCTACTCCAATTCTGAGTTGCTCTTTTTCAATAAATGACTTATGTTGTTTTCAAAGATGCGAGAAAAATTTAATATAGAAAATTTTGTAATAAAACCCAGTTGGTTTGAAAGTAGCATAGAATTATTCAAGTACAATTACATTGGCATCATGTTCAGAAAATAACTTATCGAGTTTTTTTTATTTTATGAAAAATTTTTTTTTTGCGGGGGTCGAGTTGATGCGGTCGAGGTCATTTCTATACTGTTATTTTTTCAAAAGACCGAAAAAACATTTCGAATTTTCAATAAGACGAATCACAACCAAAAGGCCATCATTATATAAATGGCATTCCTAAGCCGTGTACCAAGTTACATCGCTTCCAATACACTGCCAGAAGGATAAACACACCAAGCAGAATCGGAGCATCGCACCAATTGCGATTCCACAAAAACATAGTATTTCTAGCTAGCAGACGAAAATAAAACGATAAACAATAACTCGGAAAAAGATTGAAAAAACCCCAATCACAAAAATGTCACAATTTTGTCTCGAATATGTTCAATTTGTGGACACAACGTTCAGCAACGCAATCGCCAGCGTGAAAAGCGAACTCAAAAAAACATTTGGAGTGCTCAGAACATTCAGACGCCTAAAATTTTGTTTCGCTTCAAATGACGCAAAAAAACCCTAAGCCGATCAAACATTAGCCAAAACAATTTCTGCAACCACGTTCAGCAGCAATCGCCGGCGTGAAAAACAAATTCAAAAACATTTAGAAGTATCAGAACTTTCAGAAGCCTACAATATTGTTTCGATTCGATTGGCGCAAAAATCACTGAGCCGGTCACTTCGTGTCAGTCAGCCCATTTGGTAATCTATCCGCTTTTACTCAAGAACCTTTCCAAGAAAAAGGCCACCTATAACGCTTTCATTTTGTCTATCCCAGATTCAGTCGCTCTCTCTGCCCTACGGCGGTGCTTGGCTTACAGCTGTCCCTATTAAAGGTCTCGGCTTGCACCCGTTCCAGCTGAATTACCAGCTGTCGTCATACCGCCTTGGCCTCCCTGTGTTTGCGTCTGCTCGTAACTGCCAAGCGTGTCCTTCTGGACAACTTAGGGGACCACGCTGTCTATTGCGGTGGGAGTGGTGGTCGGATCTCCCGTCACGATAGGTTAAGGGACACTATTTTCAACGCTGCCACAGCTGCCTCTTTAGTTGCCATCAAGGAGGAACGAAATATCATTCCTGGAGAGCGGTTTAAACCGGTCAAACTTTTCGTTCCTTCTTGGATAGCTGGCCGCCCAGCTTCTTTTAATGACACCGTGACACGCCCGCTGCAGTTATCTTTTCGCTCAAGTATGGCGGAGACCCCCGGGACATCACTTAAGTTGCTAAGAACTAAGTTTTCTAAGCAGGAGAAAAATTGCAAGGACCAAGGAATCACTTTCTTCCCGTAAGCAGTCGATGAGCTCGGGGTTTTGTCCTCCTTGGCTATCAGAACCCTCAAAGCGGTCACTATTCTCGCTGACGCCGGACGTCCTTGTTCCCGGGATGCGCGTGTTGCTCCAGTGCACCTCATCTAAAGCCTCTCCGCGTGCCTCATGAGAGGAAACTCACTATGATTGTCATTCGAGCCATCTAGACTTGTTCAGTTAATATAAATCTTTCTTTTTCTATTCATTCCCTCTTCTGGTGCTCCTTTTCTGGTGCTTTTTTCCTTCCCTGCAGGTGCTTTTTCCAATTAATGGAATGCTTTTTGATATTTTTTGATTTAGACAATTTTGTTGATTACACGTCGTTCTGATACCTGTGAGTTTACTAAGCCGATAAAACATAAGCCGAACAATTTGCAATCATGTCCAGCAACACAACCGTCGGCGAGAAAAACGAATTCAGGCCTACAAAACAAGCAGACAAGCGATACGCGGACAAGATTTTTGAAACAGAAAATTTTCAACTTATAAAAAAATGACATTGATCGGATTCGAACCTAGGACGATCTTAGCTGCTCAGGTGTAGTCGCTACCTCTGGCCGAGTATGTTGGAAAAGCCAAGAAAATTGAATTTTTTACAGACAAAGCGTCTACGACGCCCCCCTATTCTTTCGTCAGCACAAAAAGTGAACCAGTTGTTATCCCCCGAAACAACAATTTGTCTATATTCAGGTTTGATAACTCTTGCTAGTCACAAAGCGTAATCAATCAAGTACTTCGTTTAATATGTTATCATCCGAAAAAAAGTATAGATTCCGATTTGAAAACGCTTGCTGATCGCAAATGTATACAGTTTGCTCAGGTTGAAGAATGAGCACAGGCAACGTGGATCTTAGCACCATTTGCAATAAAACACAAGAATATCCGGCTACTTTATACATAGCCCTGAATGTTCAGACCACACTGTCAGGAAAACAATCAAAAACAAAGCAAATATTTATAAAATAGACAAACATTTTTGCATTTTATTATTCAGGATTTACTGTTACCATGCATTGAAAAAACGCTAACACATGCACCAAAATTCGCTAATTGGAAGCTATAACGTTATAATTGCAGCGTTACAGTTATGAGAGCTAAATGTCAACGTCAGCTTCAAATTCCTGTCTAAAATACCAAAAGTAGTCTGAAAATTGAAAATATGCAGACCAGTTTCTCTTGTCACTGACACTACTTTCTTTCAATTAGTCACGAATGACAGAGATCAAAATTTAAAACATATACACGAGGCGTAGCTTCGCGTCACTTGCTATACAACACGAACATAAACAACAGTCGGAAATGAAACAAAAATGTTGAAAAAAAAAAATAGGACTACTAAGATTGTCGGATGCCGGACATCCGAAATTTTTGGTAGTTCTAGTTTTTATGGACTTAACTTTTGTACCAAACTTGCTTACATTTTGAAAAATACTATTTTACAGATGAAAAAACTGTGTTAAAGTTAAATTTTTGGTCTGAACTCCCTTCGGCTTAAAGTCCCGTCGGCTTGTTGTCCCAGACCCAAAACCCAAAAACTTCTTATGTCCCGATAAACACTTAATTTGCCAGTATTTTCAAATGTACAAGTGTAAATCAAATTGTTTAATCAAGTTATAAATCGATCATTGTTATAACTCAAGTTTTATTTGCCCTGCTAAGTTGTTTTGTTAATGAGATTGCCAAATTTGCTGAAATTTTATTCGAAGGTTGGCAGGATAGTGCAGATAACTGATAACGAGTGCGCTCATTAGTAGTTATCTTGATTTAATAGGAAGAGGTTTTATGATCGACTGTAGTGTTTTAATCCCGCAGGTCTTGATTCTCAAGATAAATTTTCACATCGACTTGAAAGCTCAAATATAGGTATATGTGCCATTCCGCCGGATGACACAGTATAACCTTCCCGCGACGGAAAAAAAAGTGACTAAAGGCCTTACGAACAGAAAAGTGTTGCGACGGAGGGTCAGAATGTTCTGGAATTTTTATTTTTAAAATTTCGATTTGAAGGAGAACATTTCTGAGAAATAGAAAAAAGACGGCCATTTTGAATAAAATAGAGAAAAATCAGAACGACGCCATATTTTGTGACGAACGGTTGTATCCGAGACGAGAAAATTACGGAGCCTCTTATCGTGGCAATAACACACGATAAGGACCTTAGTGACGGATATTTGTGGAGACGGAGGCTTCAGTGGGGGGAAGAGAAATACCACGGAACCCTCCCGGGACACGAAATATAGGAGATAAGAGTGTTGTCTCAAGAAAATCACGGGAGCGGAGGCTTGGTCCCCCAGAGACTGTTATATGTGAAGGGACTGTGTAAACTAGCCATAACAGTTGCTGTAATGTCCTAGATCTGAATTAAACACCGTTATTATTTAATATTTCAGAGCATGAGTAGATAGAAAAAGGAAAAGGTCAATCCATCTCCAATGGATTTAATATAAAACTGTCACACAAAAACATATAGAAATAGGTGGTTCGAGCCGTGTTTTTAATGACAATCACGTAGTCTGAGGATCCGAGACTCAGCTATGTGGTTGTGTTCGCATGCAAACGAAAGCTGATCAAAAGTCGTTTGACTGATGGCCTAAAAATAGTAACTTTTACTTTGCCCTAGACAGACCAGAAAATCAACTGGCAAGGTCGAGACGGTGAAAAACGAGTGGAATTAAGGTAACTGACGCCTGCCAGTCATCAATAGGTACTTTTTCTACGCTCCGTCGCTGTGTGATATTTGGGCGAATGTTACATAGACGTTTTTATGGCGCTCCTGGGTGGGCCTGTTAAAGGCATGAAACCATCATGATCAGCAAGCGTTTCAGCGACGTACCCTCCGCTCCGGGCGTATGCCCGAGTTAGAGGCCTTAATGACCGTTTTCGTACTAGGGGGAAGGTGCGTACCCCTCCGTCTAGTACGATTTAGCTTTTTAACTTAGTTAACACCGAAAATTCCGGGGGTCGGAGGGTTAGGTGGGAAATCTAGAGCCCGCTTGTCCTGAGGTCCCAGGACCAAAAACAATTAAAGAGAAAGCGTA